GTCTACGTCTATCATGTATCGTGCCTTGTGCTTGCTACTAGGTTCTCTGACTCGTCGGAGTAGAGACCCCATGAAGCAAAAAATAAAATAAAATAAAATAATAGAAGAACAACCAGAAGTGAAGGGAGGAAGAGAAAAAGAAATGCCGAAATCACAGACCTGAGTGGTTATTACAAGTATCCATCCGGCCAAGAAGGAGATGTTTTTCCGGTAGAAAGCCTTTATAATGTTGACAATGCCGACGGCATAGGCGTATCCACTCCCAAAAGCGCTCCCAGCATTAGCGAATATGGAGATGAGAACATGTTCCTTCATGTTAAATGGTCCCGGATTCAGAGAGAATTCCGTCGACCCAAAACCTGGTAAGCGGAATTTGGTGCGCGGTAGGACAGAAGCCATGAAGCGGCCGATTGGGAGGGTAGCCACCTGAACGGTGATCTGGGTTATGATGAGGGGCTCCGTTCGGTAGGCGAAGAATTGGTTGAGGAATGACAACAGTGCGCATGATATCAAACCCAGGAACCACATCCGGAAGGTCCAGACGGGGAGGGTTGGATCGTCGGTGTTGGTCACCGTTAAGCGCACTTGTTCGATCGGGGAGAGCTCATCTTCGTCAACTATTTCTTTGGGCGATTCAGGCAGCTCTGTTTGTACAGTTCCCATGGGGAATGAGACGGAGACAGAGAAGGAGATGGAGGGTGAGGGAAGGGGGCCGGAGAATATTCTGAATAGCTGGGGTTGTCTATCTTGCTATTAAGCTCCAACCCTCCAAGTCCAACTTATACTGCCAATGCTCTAACCTCTAAGTCGTTTGAAAGTCAAACCTCGCTGGCCATCGGCCTATCGCATGGTCGCTTGTGAGAGAATGAGACGGAAAGATCAGCTCGAGATTATAAATTAGTCAGTTTCTCTCTTGGGACATCTGACGCCAGTTGTATCACACATTCACACCGTCACCCACAGTACTATCATTAATGAGTCATGAACCCGTTGTTGTTGCAAATTGCAAGAAAATCAAAAGAATCAGGTATGAAAGGAGCTTAAAAGCGTAATCCTTTTTCGGCTCGACTCGCTTGTTGGGCGGGGCCTTTTCGTCGGCCACCCAAGTAAAACCAAAACTACTGAAAGGCGCCTAGATTTTGTTGAGTTTTTGCCGAGGTATTTGAAAGTTGAAACTGGCGATTCCTTGTACGTGCGCGGCCTTCCCATTGTAGCTTTCGCAAGAAAATCAATACAACTATTGCAACGTAATTGTACGTTTTTCATTCGTGTTTATTAATTTTTTAATGGCAATTTTTTTTTCTGGAATCAATTTTGACTGCGCATGTTATTTGTCGATGATATTGGTTTAATCTATGAAACTAAAGAAAAACTAAATGTAAAATTAAACTTGTACCAATGCTTTAGAAACAAGAAGCTTTAAAATAAATAGAAATAAAATATAATACATGACATGTAAATTTAAGAATAATAGGAATATAAATCAAGATACATTCGGGATAGGAGACATAACTCAATACTTGGTCCAATAATTCATATTAAGAGAGAGATTGAGGAGGGGTGCATTTAAATTTTTATGTGATAGGCAAATACACTTGGATTAAAAAAAAAAATTGTATAAAACAGTTGTAAGGCCAACTATGTTGTATGAAGTACAGTATTAGCAATAAAAAAAATGTCTAGAAAATGAATGTGGCAAAAATGTAAATACAAAGATGGATGAATGGAAATACTATAGAACGTAAATGATTAAAAATGAAGTTATCCATAGGAGCTTAGCAATAATTCCAATAGGTGATAAAATGAGAAAAAGTATATTAGGATGGTTTGGGCATGTGCATAGAAGACCAATAATTGCACCAATTATAATAATTGTTTTGTTACAAATTGAAAGGGATAAAAGAGCTTGAGGTAGACCTAAAAGGACATTGGTAGTAGTAAGAAATGACTTAATCACTAATAATTTAACAATTAATGATTTTGGACTAAACTGTGACATTTTGGGAGTTTAGGTATTGGAATTGCACATTTTGAAATTTGGGTACCAAAGTGATACAAAGGCCCAAAGTATAGGGTACTAATATGCAATTTACCCTACTTAAAAACAAATATATAATATATAATATTCCATTGGTTGGTCTTAGTTTTTATAATAGAATATGTTGCATGTTATCATGTTTTTGTTGTGAGGAAGGGAGAACAAGAACCGTTCATCGTTCACAACATAGCCCTCTAAGTCAAGGCGAGCTCTTCTTTTTGGTGATTTGAAATAGTGGTTACACCCCATTTTTTCCTCTTTGTTTTTGTATCTTTTTCCCAAAACATTTTGAATCATTTTATTGGATTAAAATAGGGGCTCTGCCCCTTCTTTTGTTCTAAATTTTATTGCATTTTCACCTTTTTTTTCTCATCATTGGTGTATGAAACAAGGGCTCTGACCCTTCTTTTCTTCTCCATGTTCTTCTTTTAGTTTAGTACTAGCGGGGACCCGTGTGAAGCATGGGATTTGTCAAGAATAAGTAAAACAACAAAAAATGATAACTATTATAAGGAAGGAGTGCAATGGTGTTTAAAATAATGAATCCTTATTATTATAATTTGCTACAAAAAAATTAGTACTTTGGATTAATTATATTAATAACTTTTAACAAAAATAAATAAATTACTACTAATTACTTAATAAAATAATTATTTTTTCTATATTATCCATTTGTGTTTTATTTTATTTATTTTACTTTATTATTAATTAAATGTTATAGTTTTTTTTTTTTGTAAATGTTACTTAAATATTAGTAAATATATAAAGTTAGGTTGTAGTCATAATTAAATTAATCTAAGCCTAAGATCGAGGTTTGAGACTTCATATTGAGCTTTGGTCGATCCTCAACTTGACCCAACCCCCTAAGTTTCACCCCTAAGAGCAATTTGACATTCATAATTAGACTGAACCAAATTGAGCACAACCCACACATGTATTATTTTTGGATTTTTAATTATTTTTAGATAAAAATTATTAATATTGAACCCGAAAGAGCTATTGGGAATGGGCTACCCCCATTGTGTAGCTTAATGAACCAAAAACATAAAAGATCTCGGGTCAAATTTTGATAGTAAATTATTGAATGAGTTGTGTGCTAGAGGAGTTGTGAAGAAAAGCTCAGCACAACATGTAGCAGTCAAAATGTAGGGTTGAAGATGAGCTATTTTGAGTTCTATGATTTTTCATTTCCCATAAGTCCTAGCTTGTGACTTGTTCAACTTTCCACCACAGTGACATGAAAAGCATCTGAAACATTGAATTTTTTTTTGGCATCGAGCTTCTTTTTGCTTGTCATAACAACCGTAAATGAAATTCAAGTTTGATAGATATTTTATGTAAACACTGCCTTTAACTTACTAGTTGTACTTTACAGCTCAAAGAATGTTCAAGAAATTCATCTTTTCCTTTACAGAACACATGTAATGATTCAAGTATTCTTTGCTTTTTATTTTATCTAATGATGTGATGGTAATGYTTTTTTCTATGACAGTATGRTTGTGTGTTTGCATGGTTATTGTTGTCAAAACAGTGATTGCTTCTCAGAGAGTATGTTACCTTATAGAAGAGAATAATATCCTTCCCCTTCCTTTTTTTTTACCGTGGCAGTGAGTTCCTAATCAGTCTCCTTTTGGCTATTTTAGCCCATGTAACTTTGACATAGAGGGAGATGTGCTTTTTCACACATGACGAACTATAACA